CCCCCACGAGCCCGACTAAGAGAAACGGAGTGGCATAAGAGACACCAGACGGGGCCGGGCAGGGTGAGAGGGGTGTGGCAGGTGGGGCAGGGGCAAAGAAGAGAGGAAGAGAAGGGACAGGATAGCTGCAGCGAGGGAAGCACCGGTAGTAGGGTAGCGTCTCGTTGAAGGTAACGTCACGAGAGCAGTAGAAGCAGCAGTGCACCAGGTGGTAAAACTGCCAATCAGGGGAGTCAAGTGGGAACCCCAGGAAGACACAAGGAAGGGTACAAGCTGAAAGCTTGTCCACGCCAGTGGCGCGGATGTGGGCAAGGCTGCCCCCGACACGGAAGAAGCTTCACCAGGAGACCTAGTCCAAAGAAGGTTCGGCGAAATCTGTGGTTGCAGGGAGTGCGGCCACATGTTAAGTTGGTGAGTTACGTAGCGCACGGCGAACGGCCACAGAAAATGGGATGCACCGGCGTGGATTGAGGAGTTGCTAGCTACCTCCATGACTAGGCTAATGTATCGCTCAGCAACCTCATTCTGCTGTGGGGAGTCCGGCAATGTGTACGTCTGGCGGATGCCCTCCGCATGACAGAAGTGTCATAGGCGGCCAGAGGCAAACTCACCACGGGCAGAGTGTAAATGAACCATGGGCAGGCGGTGCTGGGTGCGAGCGGCGAGCAGCCACGGGAAGAGAATGGTAGGCACGTCAGCCTTATTCTAGTGGAAACACCATGGTGAAACACAAAAAGCCGTCAACGACGACTAGGAGGTAGCGCTCTCGACTAAGACCATAGATCGGGGCAAGGCCCCCGACGTCCATGTGCAGTGTCTATAGCTGCGCTATGGTAGGAGGAAACGAGGAGGAGTGTCGAGCGGTGCGCTGCCGGCCCTTGACGCAGGAGGTGCACAGGGGCGCTACCGACGCAGGCAGGGCTGGGAGCGACGCAGGAAGACGAGAAACTAAACCGTGCTGGGACATGTGCCTAAGACGCGTGAGTGCTGGTTGACCTAAGCGGTGGTGCCACAGTAGGGTTGGAAGGGCGAGGGAGTGACAGGAGCATGACATGGTTATGTCAGTCGATATAGCAGCTGGCGGGGACAATGTGTGCAGGGTGAAGAGACCTGGCGCTCGGTCATGCTCAAAAGTGGCTAGGTGTCGACCTGTAGCTGTGTCCGTACAGGCTGCGTGTCTCTCGTAGCCATGAAACATGGTGGTAATGCCTAGGTCCTGGATGTGACCTACACCAAATAAGTTCCTTGCAAACGAGGGGATGTGCAGACTTGTGGGGGAGCCCGAGGGGACAGCTGGACAAGGTAGAATGGTGGTGCTGCGTGCGACAACTGTAGCTGGGGAGTCTGCTAGTGCGACGCAAACGAGTGAAGGAAGTGGGGTGAGATCAGTGCTACTTCTAAAGTAGCAGTGTCACATGCCAGAGTCTAGTATAAAGGAGAGGGCCGACGTGGCGGGACCCAGTAAAGGATCGTCAAGAGAGTCTATGCCTAACAAAGTAGGGGATCCTAGACTGTACACAGCTGTGGATCCTAGACTACAAACAGCAGGATAATAAGAAGCAGTAACACTAGAGTCATCAACATACACATCTGAATCATCTCAAGATCCAAGATCGGAATGCCCGACGAAGCAAAGCGTGCCAGGGAGGTACTTGCACCAGGGGGCCATACTGGCGGCGGTAGAGGTCGTCGAGGTGGCAGAAGCAGCGGGCGGCTGCGTAGCCCGTGTGCTTGCAGACCCGACCTGCCTGGGGGTCGGTCAGCATCTGGTACGTGCAGGTCACCGCGCCTCCAGGACTGCCAGCACCTTGGCTCACAGAAGAGCCGCGCAACCCCCAGGGCACCGACTCCTCTGGGGCCCAACCTCCATGGCCTACACCACGACCACCACTCCCAAGGTTGGCCAGCCCCCACGGCAGCTGCTGCTGCTGATTCTGTGGCTGCTGCTGCGCGGTCCCCAACTCTGACTGACCACCCTCTCCGTATGTCCTTGCACCCCTCCACCCTCCGCTGATGACGCCCCACAACCCTTGCCCCCCTTGCCCTTGCCCCTCTGGCCTGAGGAGCGACTGGTCGTTATGGCCACTGCGGCAGTCTGCGTCGCAGTCTCTGCTATAGAGGCGAAGGCAGTAGAGACAGCCACCTAGGAGGGAGCTCTACCCTGAAAGATGGGAACCAGTGGAGCCAGCGATGGCATGGAAGCAGTCCCCTATCTGAGTCAGAAGAGGCCAAGAATGAGCTCAGAGGGGTGGCGGGTAAGGAGCGCGTTGCCGGCAAGGGCAAGGTGGTCAGGGAGGTGGGTGACGAGGAGTAGATAGTGGCAAAGAGGGGGGGTGGGACTGCAGCCAACTGGGTCTCCGTACAGGCCGCACGCCAGCGGGCCTCGAGGGAACGCACATGCTCGACTAGGTCTGTTATAGTGGTGAAAGAGGTCAGGCCGGGGAAGAATAAGGGGAGGAGGAGGCGAACAAGAGTGACTGACAACGGGGTAGAGTACGTAGCAATAATGGCATTCTAGAGGGCACGGGCCGACACAGCACCCACAAAGTGGGAATGCTCGTCAACCGGCAGGCGCCAAAGGATGGCAACATGGGCAGTGGCGTTGCGGGAAGCCCAGATCGAGTAGGCGGTATGGGCAGTGGCGTGCTCAGCCTGTTCCGCCGATGTCCCATCAGTAGCAAGAGTGCCAGGGCGGGGGGGGGGGGGGGGGGGGAGCTCACCAGAGACGTGAGCCTCCAAGGACTCATCATCCACGCGCTGGCTTGTGAGCTGGGGGAGCATAGTCTCCTGCCACGTGGCGAATCTGATCGCCCGACCCTCACCGTCCAGGCGCAGAACAAAAATGGAGGAGGAGGCCGACATACTTGCAGTAGGCTAGGTGCTGATGGCTGTGGTGGTAGCTACGGCTGTGTGGCAGTGGCGGCAGCAGCGGTGGCAGCGGCGGCAGGGGAAGCTGCAGTGACAGCGGTGGCAGCGGCGGTTGTGGCGGCTGCAGTGGCAGCAGCAGCAGCGGCAGGTGCAAAGGCAGCGGCGGCAGTAGCGGCTGCAAAGGCAGTGGCGGCAATAGCGGTAGCGGCGGCTGCAACGGCAGCGGCGACCTAAAAGGGAGCGGCGGTAGTAGCGGCAGTGGCGGCTGCTGTGGCAGTGGCAGCAGCAGCAGCGGCGGCAGTAGCGGCAGTGGCGGCAGTAGCAACAGCGGCACCTGCAACGGCAGCGGCGGCAGTGGTGGCTGCAAAGGCAGCGGGAGCAGCGGCTGCACGGCAGCGGGCGGCAGCAGGTGGCAGAAGGCAGCAGCAGGCCGGAGGGGCTTCACCAGTGGCTGCAGCGGCAGCGAGTAGCAGTAGGCGGCAGCGGGCGGCAGGGGGCGGCGCGGGTGGCAGCAGCTGCTCTAGTGCTGCGGTAGTGCAGCAGGCAGCAGTGGGCAGCAATGGGCAGCAGTAGGCAGCAGGAGCTGCGGCAGGGGGGGGGGGGGACTGCAACGGGTGGCAGCGGGCGAGAACGCGCGGCAGCGATCAGCAGTGGCCAGCAGCGGGCGGCACTCTGTAGCAGCCGCTGCAGCAGCTGCTGCCGAGGGCGGCAGCGGGTGGCGGCAGCGGCAGCGGCAGCGGGCGTCAGCAGGCGGCGAGCTGGCGGCTGCAGCCTGGCAGGGGCGAGCGGCGAGCTGGCGGCTGCAGCCTGGCAGGGGCGAGCGGCGAGCTGGCGGCTGCTGGCTGGCATCAGCGTGCTGGCGGCGAGCTGGCTGGCGAGCCAGTGGCGAGCTGGCTGGTGGCTGCAAGCTGGCTGTCGCTGCCTGGTGAGCAGGCGGCAGCCAGCAGGCTAGCCACGCAAGCGGCGAGCAGGCGTAGAGCGGACGGGCAAAGGGCGGGCGGGCAGGCATGAGCTGGCGCTGGGCAGTCATGGCTGGTTCACGAGATGGCGACAGGCGCGCGCGCTAGCTACGGGGGGGGGGGGGGGGGGGGGGGGGAGGGGGAGGGGGGGGTGGGGGGGAAGTAGCCTGTTTAACTGAGAAAATTCTGCGCCCCACCTGGCCTTCCCAGCTAACAAACCCCTAAAGTTTCAGGGTGGCAGGAAACGAAACGAGAGGCCCTGAGTGCAAGCTACTGAGCCACGTCAGCCCGGCAGTGCGTGGCGGAGGACCATCAGGGCGATTCGGCTAGTGGCGAGCCAGAACAAAGAACATCTGACTCTGGGGCGTATTCGAAGTGCAGAGATCGCCGCTTCTACTGGGTCTCGTTAGCTAGAATTGCTAGTTTATCCAACGAATATTTGCAGAACACAAGCTGCAAGTTCAAACCGGTTTCGAGATCGTATTTTAAAAAACACGATCATATGCAATGCTCCTTTGAGATCCACATGTGAACATTTACAGTAGTGTATTCGCCTGTTAACATTTCCGTCCGGATTTCGCGCCTCATTTCCACCACTTAGCCCTTGGCACGTCCCACATAATTCGATATTGGAAAAGATTTTTTTTCAGGAGATTCTCTGAGGTTTTTCTTTAAACATCAGCCTTGCTCTGGTGTGTTTGCTTGGGACGTTTCACGATAATCTTATGTTTGTGTTCTGAGTGAGTACACATAAATTGTTTGCAGAGCTGCATACTACACAAGCCGATCTCCACCTCTTAGCACGGGCATTCTAATGGCACTGAATAGTGCACTCATTACCCTGTATCTTGTGATACACTGGGATTTGTAACAAAAGTGCACAAAAACATCTTCAAACCAACACAACATTTAACGCGCATCAGGGTTGAACACTAGACATTGAGTAGCACATAATAGTAACCAAGGAAAGGCAAACTAGATTGTGCACACATTCAAGTAAAGGCACACAATCAGCGCAAGTAAAGGCGAATACTGAGGGTACGTAGTAAAAGAAAAGCCAAACGTTTCACACAAAGAGGGAGCTCACTTTATCATACGAGCACAGCCCCCTTGACAATAAGTGTAGCAGCAAGTGTAACACAATTGACTGGTGCAGCAGCTTCGTTTGCACTGCAGCAGTTGGAGCACAACCCCTGGCCATATTAACTTTGATGATGAGTGCAGCAACAAGTGGCTGGTGCAGTAGCTCGGTTACACCGCGGCAGTTGCATCTGGCTTATAGCCACCACTAGCAGCATAGGCGCCCTGTGCATCTGGGTACTGGTTACCATCTGCATATACGGGTACCTCCACATCTGTACAGCGAAACGGACACCAGAAAAAGGAGGTAAGAGCCCTTGGCAATCAGGAATAAGGGTGCGGTGGGGATAGCAAAGAAAACCTAAGAGAATTCTCTCTCACCTTGTCATCCCATTCTGCACGACAGTGAAGACAAGCACAAGGATGCCAACCACCAGAATAATCACCCCAGCCACGATACCAATGGAGAAGCCAGAGCAGGAGGCAGAGGCATTGGCATTCAGATTGCTCACCTTTGGATTTCTTCCCGCACTGAATCACAATGAACACAACAGCAATGACTCCAACGAGCAGCAGCACCACCCCCACAACAATGCCAATGATAGCCCCAGTGGACAGCCCAGAGCTGGAGGAGGAGGCATTGGCATTGGCGTTAGAGTTGGCGTTGTTGTTGGTGCTGTAGTCGTTGCTGGTGTTTCCTGGCAGCGTAAAACCGTCGGCGCTGTTGTTGGTGTAGTTGTTGCTGGTGGTGTAGCTGTTGCTGGTGTCTCCTGACAGCGTAAAACCGTCGGCACTGTTGTTGGTGTAGTTGTTGCTGGTGGTGTAGCTGTTGCTGGTGTTTCCTAGAATGATTGGCAGTGTAAAACCGTCCAGCGCTGTTGAGGGTTTGGGATACAGTGGTTGAGGGTTTGAGGATTACGTTGCAGGGTCTAGGTTTAAGGGATTATCTGAGACAAAGGTGAGGGTGGTGTTGTGGTAATTGATAATTTTGAAATATCATGCACAGCAGGTTTCCTGCATCCTCACTCGTCCAGTTTTTAGACTCCAGAACACTTCGACTCACGGTTGGTTGGTGGACAATCCCAGATACCCACCAGCAGGTGCTGCAGAAGCCTGAACACCACATGATTTGCTTTGAGGCAACTCAACTCAGCGATCAAATGTGTCGATTCCAGATTCTGGTTCAAATTACGGTTGTTACAGGCACTGAGAGATTAACCCACGGTTGATATGCGCACTGAGAGATTTAACTCATGGCTGTTACAGGCACTGAGAGATTAACTCACGATTGCTACGGGCACCGAGAGATTAACTCACGGTTGTTACGGGCACTGAGACATTAACTCTCGATTCTTGGTGTCACAGGTGGTGCAGAGGTAGGAGAGAGCTTCTCCAATGGGTCTTAACACACATGTTGATTGGATGCATCAATGCCAGGAAACTCATTCACTTCCAACGCGCCAATCGTTAGTTCCATGCCAACTCACGGTCCTTTTTGTCGCAGGTGGTGCAGAAGTAGGAGCACCACATGCAGAGCTGGCTACCTGTGCTCTGCGGCACCACGCAGCTGGTGTACTCCTTGGGGCATACAGGGCCAGTGCCCAACCACCTGCGTGTGCACGTACAGGAGAAGTAACATAGGGCAATGCATAAGAGGGATTGAGAAGGGTCTGCAACGCATGCAGAAATAGCTCCTGTGCTCTGCGGCACCACGCAGCTGGTGTATTCCTTAGGACACAAAGGACCGGTCCTCGGTCACCTGCGTGAAAGAGAGATGGTTGGAATCGGGGAGTGGAGAAGCAGTGTGGGAGGAAAGTGCATACAGTACATGAGAAGAGAAAATTTTGGATAGCTACGATGGGCTGTTTCTGACCACTTCTGCATTCGTTCAGGTGCATGTGCCTGCACGCACGTGCACACAGAGGCAGGCGTGCATGCATGCGTGCATGTGTATGTGTGTGTGTGTGTGTGAGTGTGTGGAATGTAGTGTGTTGTTCTGGGGTGTTTTGCGTGTGTCTGTCTGCATCCCTACTCACAGGTGACGAAGTTTGGGGATGGAGCCTAGCCCTGCTGGAATGGTTCCCGAGAGGAAGTTATCCGAGAGGTCCCTGCAGGCAGGTTAGTTAGGAGGGGTTGGTGGGAGGGAGGGAGGGGGATGGTGAGGGTGTCAGTGATAGTGGCAGAAAAAGGTGTGGCTGTGCATGCGAGCATGGATGTGAGTATGGTCTCAAGGAAAAAACGGGCAGGCATACACGTTCTGAGGGTGAGAGTTGGGGCACAGAGTGCTTACTTCACACAGGAGAAGAGGGCTTGCAGATGGGTGAGGGCTTGTGGTATGGTCTTACGGGCTAAGAGGTCCAGCTACAATGTATCCATAGGGGTTTGCAGAATGGAACGGTTCATGCGTACCAGTCTGTGAGCACCTGCAGGTTGGCGATGGTTTCGGGGATAGGGCCGTCGAGGCTGGTCTTATAGGTACGGGTACATGCATGAAGAAGGCAGACTTTCAGCTGACAAGTGTGCATCAAGAACTTAGTGCGTACAGGTCCGTGAGCGCCTGCAGGTTGACAATGGTGTCGGGGAGGGAGCCATTGAAGCTGTTGTTGTGCATGTCACTGCGGCAGGCGGCAGGCCATGGGAGGCAGGTGCAGTGATGGAGATTAAGTGATGAGAATAGTTAGGGACGCAGTGGGCAGAAACTTCAGCGAGGATGAAGAAATCGGACGGAAGGACTCTCACATGTGAGCAAGATTGGTGAGAGCCATGAGCTCTGAGGGGATTGGCCCATCCAGCACGTTGCTGCTGAGGTCGCTGCAGGCAGAGGGGGGGGCAGAGGTGGGTGGGCAGAGAGGGATGGGGGGGAAGGGGGGGAGGCGGGGGGGGGGGGGGGTCGGTTTTGGGGGGGGGAGTGGAGAGAGTGGTAAAGGAAAGACCACAGGAGAGCGAACAATTTTAGCAGGAAACATGGAGATAGGCCCGTATTTGATGTTGTAATCTCCTACACATGGGAGAGGGGTGTGAGCCTCATGTATGAGGCTTACAGGTATTCGAGTTTTGCGAGAGAGCTGATGGTGGGAGAGAGCGAGCTGAATCCGTTGCCTGACAGGTCCCTGCCACATGGGGAGGAAGGAACGGGAAAAGGGGGGGTGGAGAGAGAGTGTGTCTTGAAAGGAATTTTTAGAGCGCCTCTTGGGAAAGCAATGAGAGAGGGCCGATGGTGGGAGATTCTGAGTTGAATTCGGCCTTACAGGTCACGGCAGGCAAAGAGGACGGGGTGGATGTGTTGGGATAAATCCCTCCCAGACGGGGTGGGATTTATGGTCCCTCAAATGCAGATACGTAGAGTCAGCCGGCGGTAGTGGGATGATTGATCAAGGGATCAGCAGGGACATGACGTGCGACATCAGGTGGTTTAAGGTACATTGACGTCACGGCCAGCGTCAAAGACAATTCCACCTGCCACACCTGCCACACCTGCCCCCGTAGCCAAGGTTGGCTGTTTGTGGGTACTCACAGGTGCTTGAGGTTGGTGCACGCGTTGAGGTCGCTGGGAAGGGCGCCAAAGAGACCACAGTTGGACAGATGGCTGCCATGGAAGAGGAGGTAGGAGGGGGGTGGGGGTAACAGGGGAGAGGAGTGGGGGAGATAGAGAACAGAGAGAGAGAGAGAGAGAGAGAGAGAGAGAGAGAGAGAGAGAGAGAGAGAGAGAGAGAGAGAGAGAGAGAGAGAGAGAGAGAGAGGATGGGTGATTTTTGTGCTAGCTGAAAAGTCGCCAGAGGCCACGGCTGGGCAACTTATTGCAATGGAGAGAGAGAGACTAACAGGGCGCACACTAATACTCACATGCACGCCAGGCTGGCGACGGCTCCTAGGCTGGCAGACAGCGCCTCTCCAATTTCGAGTTGACTGGAAAATAAATACGAAGACGAGAGACGCCACAGGGAGCACAATAATAATACTCACAGGTACTCCAGGCTGGGGACGGCTCCGAGGCTGGCAGGCAGCGCGGCTCCCCCGAAATTCAGGGTGCGGAGGTCGCTGAGGGGGGTGGAAAGGGGGGGAGGGGGAGCGGTGAGTGCGTATGAATGCAGAGGTCTAAGCATATGGGTGCACAGGTGGGAGGGTGGACGCGTAGGTCTGCTTGTGGGTGGACGCGGTTTCAAAACGTGGATATCGCGGCTGGGGGAAGATGGTCGGGTGGATGTCCAGGAGAGGGTGTGAATGCATAGGTGTAACATGCGTGTGCGTGGGTGGGGCGGTGGATGGGTATTAGATGTACGGGTATGCATGTGATTGTACAAGTGCAACGTGAATGCATGCGTGCACGTTAGTGTTTCTCGGATTGATGGGGGGCTGGATGGGTGTTGCTGGTGTAAGTGCAGGGAGGTAGTGGGGGGAGGAGGGGTAGAAGGGGGGTTGTGTACGTGTATGCAGTCCTGCATGTGCGTGCAGCATGCAAGTGCGTGTGCGTGCAGCATGTGTGTGCATGCAAGAGTCCATCTTTTACACTTTCGAAAGGCGGGTGAGCAGGGAGATATCGGCAGGAATGCTGGAATAGACACTGCCGAAGTAGGACTGAAAACTGAAGTGATGGGGAAGGGGGCGGGGGCGGGGGGGGGGGGGGTGGGGGGTGGGGGTGGGGGGTGGAGGGGGGGAGAAAGAGTCTGAAACCGAAGGAATGCTGGAGAAGACGTCGTCGCCAAAGTAGGGCTGGAAAATGCCAAGATTGCAAGGGGAGGGTACGGATTGGGAATGCCGCCATCGGAGGTTGATTGTTGAAGTTTAGATCGGAAGTAGGGATGCTGGAATTGACGCCACTTCCAAACTCAAGATTGGAAACTGAATATATTGGGAGCGGAGGAATTGGGAAAGGGGATAAGGGGGAAGGGGGAAAGGGGTTAATGGGGGAAGGGGGGAAGGGGGGAAAGGGGGGAGGGGGGGAAGGAAGGGGGGAAGGGGGGAAAGGGGGGAGGGGGAAGGAAGGGGGGAAGGGGGGAAAGGGGGGAGGGGGGGAAGGAAGGGGGGAAGGGGGGAAAGGGGGGAGGGGGGAAGGAAGGGGGGGGGGGGGGGGGAGGGGTGTTCAAGGGCGAAAGTGCAAGTTGGGTGTTTTAATCTCGAGTAGACTCCAGCGACGGAATGTTCGGATTGCTCCCCACCATCTCAGAAGCTGATGGTGGTTCTGCGATGCCCAGAATTGGCGTGGTGTGGGTGCCTCAAACATCGACACGCCGACTTGGACGTGATTTTGATTTTGAGCGCCAGTGGAGCAGCACCTGGACGGACCTGATTTCGGTGACGTAGCCTTCGGCGTCGCAGAGGATGTCGTCCATGGTGGAGGTGGTCTCGCACGTGTGGTCGCTGTACATGAGCGTCTCGTTCAATCCGGTTTCCAGGGCCTGCAAGGGGGGGACTGGTGAAGGGACAGGAGGAGAAGGGGTGGGAGCGAGAAAGGTGGGAGATGGTGAGAGACTGAAGGGTGGGAGAACGAAGGGTGAGAGACAGAATGGCGGGAGATGGAAGGGAGGGAAGTAGAAGGATGGGAGAGTGAAACTTTGCCACTTGAAGGGGATAGACAGACGGGATGAGATGACGGAAGAGGGAAGCTGAGAATGTCGACCGTGGCTCGAGTTACTTTGTGACGGTCTCTGCCCCCAAGAGGCGAGCTCTGCTCGTGGACGCACAGCGACAGCAGCAGCAACCGCGCTGTGCACACGGGAAGAGTGGCATGCTTTACTACCTTTAGTCCTACTTCAACATGAAAGTTGCGACGGGTCGAGCGACCAATATGGGTCGTACTCACTTTGCGACGCGTGGAGGTTGACAGTCTCTGCTCCTACGAGGCGCGCCTCATGATGGACGCACAGCGCCAGCAACAGCAGCAGCGCTACGACTGGCGTCGCGCGCAGGGAAGAGCGAGGAGGATTCGAAGACGGCCGCATGGTGTTGTAATGTTGTGTTTTGGTTTTGTGCAATGACGGCGGCCCTGCAGCTTTTGAAACGGCTCACAGCGGTGTCACTAGTGGTCTCTGCAATGCCGGTTTTTCGAAACTGGCCGCGGGTCGCAGCGTCAACGTCGTGTTTGCAGAATTTATGGCTGCGTAGTTCGCAAGTGAGAGCACAAGAACAAGTGAGAGCACAAGAAAAACTGGTTATCAAGAAAGGAAGAGAGGGATGAAAGACTGCACACACAACTCAAACCTCGGCAAGGCTGCACCCCACCGAAACCAACTACACCGTTTCTCCTATTTAGTCCTACTTTTTTCTAACGCGGCTCAATCCTGTAAGCAGAAAACGGTCAAACCCAGACAATGGGGACATTGAAAGGGTGAAGGCCACAGATCGCGTTACATATTCTCGCTCATGCACTAGAGAAGATGCCTGCGCGACGTCCCAGCTCTGAGACTCGCATTTGTCGAAATCCGACTTGCCATTTCGCTTTCGTTCAGACTTCAGCCAATTAGGCTCAGTGTCAACGCGAGTCATGCTGCGAGTCTGGTAAAGCACAAACGACGAAAAGAGTACCGAGAAAATGCTCGTTATGGTAGGCCGTTTTTCGCGTGGCGTTGAAGATCGACGACGTGTTTCATTTCGCTGGATTTACAGATCGACAGTGATTGTCAATCGGCCCTCGCAGAAATCCCAACGTGGCTCTCGAAAAGGATGGCTGAGGGGGTCTTAGCTTCTGCAGTCAAATCAGAAGGGACATTATTTCCTTTTCCGTCAAGCACGTGTGAGTACTGATTTGGAGGCGTTTTAAAGGTTTGGAAGCAAAATGGGACATAGACGAAACCAATCATCCCATACCGCCGCGAAACGAAACATTTTGGATTAGCTACGGGCGCAAAAGTAAGCAAGTAGGCTGCCCGGGGCAAACAAAAATGAAACCCATAGGGGCCCGCATGCCGTTTCGGTAGGGTAAACCATGAACTCCGTGATGGGAGTTTCGCGTGATGGTCTGGTGCATGGCTCGACGTCGAGGTTCGACTGCTTCGGTAAATTCGCAACCTATCAAAACGCGCCACATCATCTGACGGCAGAAGCAATTTTTTGCCCCACTGATTTGACTGTTACTGTTAAAACCCCATGGCTGAGTCCCTTCACGCGATGTCGTGGTTTTTGCGACGCCAGCGCAGAGAGTCAAATTTCTCAGTGCCAATGTCCCATCACGCAATGTCGCGGTTCGGGACGACTCTAATTGGCTGCTGCTGGCATGTGCTGTGCTGAGCTCCTTGGCTTGCCCGGCAGAGTCTTTGTGGTCTTACCTTGAGCAGACAATGAAAACTGGGTGACATGGCAATTCCAGCAAAGCCGATGTGCGCTGTACCAGTGTTCTGGGTGTGCTGATCACAAGCAGACACCTTACAGCGAGGATCTCAAGAAGCACGAAACCAAAACCTTCAGGTTTGGAATCGGGTTGGCGAAATGAGCGAAACAGTAACATCGGTCCCCCAACACCCCTCACTACACCTCGCAATCTTCGCGACCCCCCGAAACCAAAACCTTTGGGTTTGGTTTTCTGCTTCTTGAGATCCTCGCTTTAAAGCCCAGGTCCCAGATTAGAAAGGTCAGACCCGAACCTGCATCAAACTGGGGGCAGTTTAATGTAGGTTCGGGCTGGTAACTGAATCCACACCCCCTTGAACACAAAATGAGCCCAAGCCGAACCTGCAGGGTTTTTGCAAGCAAGAGAGACGAATTCCTCAATCAAGGGCAATCCCCTCGGAGCTGGCCCCAGAAAGCCAAACAGCAACAGCAACTCAATGCATGGGCCAACTTGATCTGGAAATATAGGACCAAGCAAACCATCGAGTATGGGGCTTTCGCGTGACAAGAGCAACAGATTAGAGACTCAAGGGACTAGAGTCGCCTCAAGATCGAAACGTCGAGTACATTATAAGGTTTAACGTGAAGAGCGCGAAAGGAAGGCGCCGCGAGACGGTAATGTGGCGCGCGGGTAGATAGGAAAGGCGAGGTGGGATAGGAAAGGCGATACGGAAAGTTGGCGCGAGGGCGAAAAAGAAATGCTAGGCGGAAGAAAAGCGCGAGGGCGAAAAAGAAATGCTAGGCGGAAGAAAAGCGCGAGGGCGGATAGGAAATGCGCTGCGAAAAGAAAGAAGCGAGGGCGGAAAGGAGAGGAGAGGCGGAAAGGTGACGCCATGGCGGACAGGAATGTATCAGGGAAATTTGAAGCGAGGGCGGATAGGAAATGGGAGGTGGGAAGGAGGTGCGCCGCGGAGATGAGGGCGTGGAGAGTAACGCTGACAGACCGCGTAAAGGAGATGCGAGGGGGGAAGGGGACGCCACAGGGAGAGGGGGGACGCGACGAGGAGAGGGGTGCGGTGAGGAGGGGGGACGCGGTGCGGAGGGGGGACGCGGTGCGGAGGGGGGACGCGACGAGGAGAGGGGATGCGGTGAGGAGGGGGGACGCGGAGAGGAGAGGGGACGCGACGGAGGGAAGGGGCGCGGCGGGAGGTGAGGAGGAGAGGCGAGGAGGAGAGGGGGGGAGGAGAGGTGGGGAGAAGAGGTGAGGCGGAGTGGCGAGGAGGAGAGGGGAGGATCAGAGGTGGGGAGGAGAGGTGAGACGGAGAGGTGAGGAGGAGAGGGGAGGAGGAGAGGTGGGGAGGAGAGGGGAGGAGGAGAGGTGGGGAGGAGAGGTGAGGCGGAGAGGCGAGGAAGAGAGGGGAGGAGGAGAGGTGGAGAGGAGAGGTGAGGCGGAGTGGCGAGGAGAAGAGGGGAGGAGGAGAGGTGGGGAGGAGAGATGAGGCAGAGAGGCGAGGAGGAGAGGGGAGGAGGAGAGGTGGGGAGGAGAGGTGAGGCGGAGTGGCGAGGAGGAGAGGTTGCAACGGAAAATGGTCTTGAGAAGGGCTGGAGTTGATGAAGATCTTGAAGAAGCTGTCAAATTACTTGGAGAAGTTTGAGATGTCTTGAAAGATCTTCAAATCTTCACTCCAATGTCTTGGATTGGAGCCCAATCACCTCTCTAAAAAAATAAAAAATCAAGAAAATCCCACAAGGCTTAAGATTAACCTTGCTCTGAATACCAATGTAACAACCCTTGCCCTTATAACATGGGCCAACAAGGGTTGGAGTCAAAACCAATACCCAAGATCCTAGGATATAATAATGACGTACAAAACCAAGTAGCGAGCTCCTAGCGTGGTATTTAGGAGGAACCTCCTCTAAGAGATAGCTTAAGCTTGAGGACGGCCCTTGAAGAATAGTGCTTGAGGCTCTGGTTAGGTAGGGCTTCCCCTAGGAGATCACACTAGAAACCACTAGTGTAGGAAGGCTTGTGAGGAGAGCTAATGACTTAGAGAAAAATCCCATTTCAAGATTGATTTCTTGGAGTGGGAAGTTGAGAATGAGCTTCTCAGCCCAAACCCCTTCCAATGACTCCCAGCAGCTGCTGAACCTCCTCCATGGCTCCAACGAGGGTTGGATTTCCAACCAATGAGAGGTTTACAACAATGTATTCAGATTAGCAAATAGTGTACAGCATAGCAATATTCGAGTTGAGTTGGCATTGCCAACCAACTCCCTGATTCTGATTGGTCGCAAAACCAACCATCGCGTGAGTTGGGAATTTCGCCGACTCAATTTGTACAACTAAAATCTGATTGGTCCCAAGTATCGACCAATCCCAATCCTCCCCTCCCAACCCTTCCCTCCCATTTTGCGCTACCTAGCATAGGTAGCCAATTTGTGGAAGGCAGTTGGGACGGTCGTTTCTAAGCCCGTGTATTGTGCAGTGGCCATACGTTACATTCCTCCCCCTCCAGGTGGCAACGTCCCCGTTGCCGTAGAGTGCTTCTGGGGACGGGTGCTTCGAGCGCGCCGAATCACATTACGACCAGGGTCAACACCATCCACTGGTTGTGAGGCTGCGCTTTGAGCCAGGTCTTCCAGATATCCGTGAACCGCATTTCGGTCAAATGTTCCTCTGGCTCCCATGAGTTGTGTTCAGGCCCATAGCCTTTCCACTCAATAAGGAACTCGCGTACTGTCTTGCGGCCGCGCTGTCGATGACGGTGCATGACCACACGCTCGACCTCATAAAAGAGTTCCTCTCCGAGGACGATCGTTGGCGGAGGTAAGTACTTGCCTTCAGCAATGTACTTATTGAGCAGAGACACGTGGAGGACATTGTGAATCTGCAATGTATCAGGTAACTTCAACTTGTAAGCTGCCACACCAACGCGTTGGATCACCTCGAACGGCCCAATCCATCGAGGGAACAACTTTAGTGCCCCAGGGATTTGGAGACGAATGTTCTTCGTGCTCAATAATACCTTGTCTCCAACCTCAAAAGAGACTTCCCGGCGTTTCATGTCGGCATAA